GTGTGTTATCTAATGTATCTTCTGGACATACTTCTATCCTCTGGGTCTGGATAAGGGAAGATGGAGAAGATAGTTATAAGATAACAAGTTTCAGGTGTGGATGTTAGCAGAGTTCATTATAATGATAAAACATGAAATTCTACCATGGGTATAAAACAAACCATCTCAGAAGCAGAAAGAAACCTTGGTAATGTAGCGGAGTACAATCAGGACTGCTAAAGACAAGGTCAGCAGTTTGAATCTACTAGTTGCTCCTCAGGAGGAAGATAAGGCTTTCTGCTCCCATAAAGATTTACAGGTTGCAATGAGTCAGAACTAACTCGCTGGCACATAACCACCAGAAACAGGAGACTCTTCAAAGAAGAAGAGTCAAGAATGGAGAGTGTCCTTTGGACCCTAAGATCTCTATGCATTCAACTATGTTAACCCAGGGACAGTAAGCTGTTAGAACAGATGAGTGAATAGCAGAGGAGCAGTAGTTATGGCAAGAATCAAAGCAAGAGACAGAGTAGTGGACATGCTAGTCCACAGAGCAAGTAAAGTTGAGTCACTTTGTGTAGGAAGCTTGCTTGTAGAGTTGGTTGCTTCTAGATACTTAAGTGGGGAAGCTAAGTTTGGTGACCCATGGAGCTAGAGCCAAGATCCTTTACAATGAGGCTTTTGGTGGAGTGGTGTGTCCTATGGGCATTGAACAGAGGATGACTGGAATAATTGCCCTGCGCACTTCTGATTCTGCATTGTAATCTGTTCAATGTCCTAATAAACTCCATAACTATAAGTATGGTGTCTGAACCCAGGTGAGTAGAGAGGACTGTGGGAGAAATGATTGGCACTTTGTATTTTTTGCAGGTTTTTAAAAAGTGACTAGTTGGTTTTGTGGAGTCCTGGTGAGCATTGTAAAATAATGGGAATTTTTTTTCTCCTTGGTAGCCCTATGAGTAGCCCTCACCCTCACTATGAGTCAGAACTGACTCAACGGCACTTTACAACAACAATTTGACCCTTTAGTCTAGAGTTCATGAGTTGGATATGGCTTTGCAGTTTTTCTTCTGAGTTACTTAACTAGATGAACAATAACATAATAAACTATATTTCTCTCACCAAGCCTGAGCTCTGGTAGCATAGTGGTTACGAATAGGGCTGCGAACCTGAAGGTCAGGAGTTCGAAACTACCAGTGGTCCCAAAGGAGAAAGACTAGGCGGTCTGCTCCTGTAAAGATTTACAGTCTCGGAAACCCTGTACAGGGTCGCTATGGGTCGGAATCAACTCAACAGCACTTAACAACAATAAGAATGATTCTAAAACCTTAGACTAATTTTCCATTAAAAGCAACCCTGATAGTGTTAAAGTGTAGAAATAATTTATGCTTCATATTTTATTACAGCAGAATAAATGTTACATCCAAAAATTAAAGCTGAAAGAAAAACTCTAAACTCATATTTAGTTAAGACATTTTAATATAGGCAAAAAAAATAAGCAAAATTAGGCAGGTCTTTGCTGGTTCAGATATATTACAGGATCATTTGCATAGTTCTTCTCAACTTGGACTTGCATGTTTTTATTGTTAAGTGCCATCAAGTCCATTACGACTCATTGTAAACCTATATAGGGTTCCTGAGGCTATACATTTTTGCAGAAACAGAAAGCCTACTTTCTCCTGAGGAATGGATGATGGGCTCGAACCACAGACCTTGTGGCTATTGCACAAAGCCACCATGTTCCCTGGTTTTGCATAAGAGCTAAATAAAGGAAATTTCATGTTCACATTTTCCAGTAAGTACCTTGATTTTAGCAATTTTGGTGAGAGTGAGACCAATTAAAAAGATGGAAAACTTTTGACTTCATAGAAACAGAAATGAACCACATATTTTGCTATGTTGGATAAGAAACTCAGTTTTACACAAATGTTCATCGATT